CTGAGACCTTTCAGTATGTGCACATGTTGGAAGATTTCAATGCACTCGTATATAGATATGTATATAGAAATGCACATAAAGTAAACGATGAAATCGGTGTATTAAATATATTTGTTTTGTCGCTGATTTGAAAACAAATGTGACCATGAATGAAATTAACAGAATCAACACACACAAAAAAAACTTGACACACCCCAGTGGCGGGTAATAAAAAGATTTATTTCGAGTCCCCTAATTTGACAGACTGCAACTCTTTAGTTGTTCTGAAATAAATACAATTGAATAATAAATTACATATTTAATTCAAACTTGCACTATAGAATATAAAAGAAAGTGTACAAAACGAATTAAAGAAATAAGTAAGTGAATATAAAAGTGCAAAATATAAGTGTAAAATAGATGTCTGGTCACCCTTTCACACACAGCTATAACAATTGTGAGATCTGCAAGCAAGTGATTGTGATTGTGAGCACTGTTTTCAATAGAACTGCAAAAAAAAATTTTTTTTTTGAACGATAAATAGCGGATCACAAGCTTTATAGCAGAAACAGTCAAAAACGCAGAATCGTGGGTCGTGTCAGCTGATTCGACCTATCTTATGGGCGCGCAATGTAAGTGCCCAGTGAAAAACGCTACTCCCTTCTCTCTTTGACGTCGGATGACGTGAGATTCTACAGCATTTTGGTTTTTGCCGTCTAAACGTGTCAGCTGATTGCTCTCTCACAACCCAGGGTTGCCAATATCTATATACTGTAGTAATTATCAACTTTTATAATTCAATTTGTTCAATATATTTGAAATTTTCTTAAAATAACTGAAAATTGGAGTCGAATGCTATTATTTATAAATATATAAACTATTTTTAATAGTTTGTTTTCAGTTTTGATATTTTATATTATAAAAAATTGTAATTGAAAACATATCTGTGTACAAAACTATATATGCGTATTGAGCAATGACAACATTGTGCAAATGAAAACAAACAAAGATGGCTGAATTCTGCATTTTTGCCGTTTTTCACTGGGCACACATTTTGCCGATGAGGAAGGAAAAGGGGGAAGGCAGTAGCGTTTTTGACTGTTACTGCTATTAGTTTCAARGAGTAATTTAGCAAGCTTAGACATGCGTCCAAGTGGTGAGTGTTTTTATTCTTTTTAAACATATAAAACTAAAATTATGATAGTGATTGAAGTTACCATAAAATTTCTCAAGTGATTGTGCTCATTTAAATTAATTTGCTGATAGTTATTATTAATTGGAGGGCAGTAAAATACAGATATCACAATTGTGTTATTCAGGCACAGAGTAGAGTTTCGTTGCATGCTCAAAAATGTGTTATCTTCCCAATTTCTAGGAAGATTTTTCGACTTGGGCAACAGCGATGACGTTGTAGCAGTCCTAGACATTTTAGATCAATCTGATATAGACTTCAGTGATGAAACTTCCGTTTAACGTAAACGATGGAGAAGAAAGCGATAAAAGTACAGATGACGATGAAGGGGATCCAGAAGCTCAACAATCAAACTTCGCGGGGACACCGGTGATACAACTGTCATCGAACGCTATACTATATTCCCACGACAGTCGGGTCTACGAAAACCGGAACGGACCCGGATTTTTATCCGGCCAAGGACTGTCAACTCGGCAGRATTYTGCCGTTACAACAACAACAACAACGCTATACCTAAACCCCACCCCAGGAGAGAAATTTGGAAAAATGCACCCTTTCCGAACACACATATCCTATAAGTTATGGTTGACAAAATCAAATAAGGGTGAAGACACCTTTAGAATACTTAAATAATTATTTTCCGAAATACCACTATGAGAATGTGGTGAAATTTATCAAAAAGTACGTCTTGGCTAATCGTGGTGAAAAGGCGCGTTATGTAACAGCCGATATAAAACGATTTTACGGGTGTGCAATCATAATGGGCTGCCTCGGCTACCCTGCTATATGAATGTACTGGTCAAATGAATGCAAAATTCGTGCCATATTTAATTTAATGTCTCGAGACAAATTTCTCCAACTACGGACAGACACACTTTGTTGACTTTTCTGTTCCAGATTCCACTAACAAATTTTGGAGAATACAACCCATCATAGGCATGATTAGGGAGCGCTGCAATGAATTAGCAACTGATATCACAAACTACCAGTTCCTGCTGGGATGTTTTCGTAGAAATCATCCTTGCAGTCATCTGCTTGGAGCGGAACCGCCTCCTAGGAGCATCAAGAGGTCATTCCCTGATCACGTCGACGACATCGAACAATACGCCGACAGGACCTCGGACGCAACAGACTTCCGACAGGACCTCGGACGCAACAGACTTCCGACAGGCACTGACCGCCATTCACAATGGATCCATCAACCGACTCCCTCCCCGTGAATGGCATACTTGGAGTCAAATCACCACCCATAACAAACTACTCGATTGACGAGCAAATGATTCCATTCACTGGAAGATGCCCTGCTCGGAAAGTAATCAGATCAAAACTCCGGCCTATTGGATTAAAAAATCTTGTATGCGGTTATAGCTGCTTCAAGTAAATGTGGAAAGGACCGCGTTGGTGAAGTTGAGAGGAGGAATAGAAATCTGAAACGCCGGTTGCCCGTTGACATACCTTCAGTAATTGAAAACTAAAACATGTTTAGGGGAGGAATTGATTTGTGTGATCAAATGCTCGAATATTACAGAATTAAAATGAGGATAAAGAAATGGACTGTCAAGGTGTTTTTTCACTTTCTTGATCTGGCAATCTATAATTCATGGATGGAATACAGAGGAGACTGCAAGATTTCCGGACTACCAAAGTCCAAAGTCAAGTCATTTCTAACATTCAAAATGGAGCTTGGCACTGTACTAGCAGCTTACTTCGAAGCTCMTGATCAGGTTGAACCCTTTAAATTGCCGGAAGACTTTTACGGAACAAAATATCGACCTCATGATGCACCTGATGATCATCGCAATGACCACTGGCCTTCAATTTCAGATGATCCGCCGAGGGTTTATAGCAATAATTGTTGAAGTCGAAGGAAGATGCCAAAAAAGTAAGGTTAACCTTAGTCTAGCAAAAAATAAGGACTGTTTTGAAAATTACCATACACGTAACTGATTAAAGTATATACAATTGCTTTCTATTTCTTAGTAACCTAACTTTCTTTTCTTTTATTCAAACAATTAAAGTTAAAATGATTTTTATAAAATAGTGAAGTATTAGAAAATTTTTGTGTTAAATAAAAAATTTGAAGAATCATCCTGTATTATTTTTGAGGGGATATTTTACAGCTTATAACCTAAAGACCACAAGTACGCGATGCCCTGTTTTTAAAAATGGACACTTTGGAAGCGTTTTTCAGGTTAATTTTGGCATATATTTCCAGAAAAAATTGTATTCCAACGTCTAATGCGAAATTATTAAGAAAAATATCCCTAGGTCTGAAAGGGATAAATTTTAGAATAGCATCCCCTGATTTCGGGGTTAAAATGGGTATGTAGAGGAGGTCCCCCTACATTGATGTTATTTTTTTTTATTCTATGCGATAAACTAATAACATTTTCTTTATTTCGTGTTGTTCTTTTTTAAAATATGTACATATGCTAACACTGGATATTTGTTAGAATGCAACCCTTTTGTTAATGTGTGAATATAAAAAAATTATACAAAATTTAATATTGAATAAAAGGTATTTTTGCACTATATAAAATAAAATAAATGGTTAGAAACGAATTAGTGAAGTGTTACTGGATATAAGAGTTAAACTTATAAGTGTAGAATTTATTATAAATAGGAGATATGTACATGCTTTTTGAATTGTCGAATTTTTGAACTTTAAATGCAAATATCTCAAAAACTATAAGTTATGGAGCATAATGGTCCTGCAATTTGAAAGAATTATGAATCAAAACCTCAAAAGCATATATCTGAAAAGAGGCCACGTCACCTCAATTAGGATAAGCGCGTTATTAATATTTAGAGCGCTTAGGTATAATGAGGTTACGCAGAGAATGGACGGCACAATTGACCAAAGGTCGACTTGCATGCATCTTATTTGATCTAATCTAATCTTGTTATAATAACATACTCTCTTTAGTGGACTAGTAAAATTTTAATTATACAATAATTTCATAAGTTTGACACAAGGCAAATTACAACTCAATGTGGTCAATCTCATTTAGTGCTTAAGAAAACCCGATTAAAATGTATTAATGTCTAAGATTATGTTAGTATATAATTTATACCAAATAAAGTTTTGACCAACAATTCGTTGAACTGAATTAAATATATGTATATATAAATAAGACAAATAATGCAAAATATACTCTTGTATGTATACAACCTACATCTTAAATGAATAAACAGTAATTAAAAATATATGTTTTTTTCTTATGAATTTAAACATCACAAAATCATTGTAATAATTGGGGTTATAACATAGCATTCAGAATTGTAAATGTGTACTAATTTTTGTATGAAATCCAACAACAGTTTTTTTAAACAAGTGTAAAAACTTATAATTTTACGATGCTTTACGACGGGTTATGAGTACCCCAAATATATAAGTTCTAATTGAGAGCTACATAAATAAATAATTTATACATCACGGCGCCGTTTATAAAACTTGGAATTATTTTCACAAAATTTATGTGTCGTTATGTAAATTCTTTGGAATATTCATTTATATACGATATATGTATATATTTAAAAAAGTTTTACAAAGCTTTAAGAAAGGATGATGTCATATCTACTCCATCATGTAAAAGGTTAAAGAGTACACAATATACAGCACATTTGCTATAAAATAATACTAACGCAAATTATATTTCTCATACTGAATCTTTTACAAAATGTGACATAGTAATCTTTTTTACTAAAAATACATTTTTTCGTAATGAAGACAATTTTACTTGATTTAAAGTCCTACCATGGGTGTACTGTAATTAAAATACTGAACACAAACAATATTAAATGGCATAGCCAGATATATTCTACTTACGGAATCTTGTATTAAATGCGGCATTGCAAATTAGAAACTTTTTGTGCAGTAATCAGAATAACTTCACTTTAAAACTCAGCTCCAATGGTTAACCAAACAGTAATGAACAAATATCAATAGTTACGGGGCATCTCGACAGGATAAAATCTTTGTCTTACTAACTGTCAAATCTATTGCTATTGCCATTGCCAAATCTGTATGTGGGCATTTGTTATCATAACATAATCATTTGCGCAAAGGCGTAGGGTAGGTAGGTTCGAGCTGATGTTCTTTGAGCTTTTGAAAATTTTTTTTTCTCACATTGCCAAATGCCGTCGGGCGCATATTTTGAGCTCTTGTACTGGTTAAATCTTTTATAAGGAAAATAAAAAGTATTCTTTTTTTACAAATGTATTTCCCCGAAAAATAAGAATTCATATAATAATTGTAGCATACATTTTATATACCAATTAAAATAATAAATTTAATATGAGCAGTGATATTTTGATTTATGCTTGTATTAAATTTAAGACTTCGCTCATGCCCAATCGAATGTGCATAATTTTTTGTACATTAACCATATGAAACTAAATATTATTTATTTTTTGAAAATGTACTTTATTTTCATAATATAATACAGTCGTCTTAATACTCGCTCTACTAAATTTCATATTACCGAAACGAAAACCGGCATGTGTGCAAATGGGATATGTTGCCTCTTCGAAATTGTCATAGAAATGAAAACTGCGCTGCCAAACTGCTGAAGTGACAGCTTATTGCTTACAATATATGGCAAACTAATAAGTATTAAATATATTGTAAGCAATAAGCAATATGGAATCTCCACAGGTAAATGTTGAAGTCGGCAACACCCCAAATTAGAAGGGAATTACTTATCTCTAACCGGTAATTATCAAAATATTAAACGTACATAGTATTATAAACCTAAAACTACAGAAAACATTCTTATATAAAAATGTATTGATGTTAACATATGTACTTACATAAAACTAAGTTTTTGGATACTAACCACTATTTCCTATCCTAATTATAATATTATTCTTAACTAACTATTTATTTCATTTATTTATACGCATATATGCATGTTTAGTATATTTTTGCAGGTAATATTTTTCAACGTGTGTCAGTTGATTTAAATTCCACTGACCCAATTGAAAAAAAGATGACTTGAGATTCTCAACAACGACGGAGTTGAGAATGTGGCAGCCACAAACTTGGTTAAGACAACCCAGAAATTTGTGCCAATTCAGAAAATTGTTCGTTTTATATTTGGGTGGATCACCTTTCTGAGGGAGGACTCTCAAAACCAACAGATATGTTGATGGAGCATATGAGAGCCTTGCAAGCAGTATTTGAAAGCATAAATAGTACTGATTTGCATATATATTCAAGTAATTTTGTAAATTGTAGCTCAAAAGTAAAATAATTCTTTTTCAGAGCTAGAATGTATTTTAGAATTGGTTCCTTGAATAAAAACTTAATTGAATATATGTATAGCAAAAAAATTAAATTAAATAAGGCAATAAATTAATACTTGGTCACAAAATATTCAATCTTTTTGTTTGCATAAATGTATATGGTTGAAACAAACACAGCAAAGAGACAAAATTAAATAATACAATGAATTACAATAATTACAATACAATTAAAKKAATATGTAGGTAAATGTTCACTATAAAATATTCACTTGTATTGATATCTCTTATTAATATTCACTTATATTGAAGCTAACTTTTGATGAAATTCATGTTTTTGTATGCCTGCAGTACAAAATTGCTTCTTATTGCAAAGAAAAATAAACAACTGAAAATCAGCTGATTGATTGTTGGTCAACCGTGACGTAGCTGCGCAGAACGACAGTGAACTGAAAATCGCGTGGTGAACCTACTTCATGAACGTTTGTGAGAGGCCAGCTACATAACAATGGCCGGCATGTACACAAAACAACGCAGTTGTCCATTTTGCATGTACACAATTTCGTTGTGGCCATACTAGTACCTTGCACTTGAATGAAATTTTGATATTTTGTTCAAAGTGAAAATTTTTATGCAAAAAATAAATAAATAGGTAAATTTATTMATTTCAAATTATCAATTGTTATTACAAATGATGTGTCAGAGCTATTTTATGCTTTTATTTGTAAAATARCTTCAAGTTTGTTAGAGCTGTGAATAATTTTACATTTAACATATTAGTGGCATCACCACTCTACATCATCTCTCTATCTTCCATTCTACTGTCAAYTCTACTGTCGTCCTACTGTCGTTGGCAAATATAGGATAAAATTGAAGTTAGCGAGAACGACAACTGTCGGCCTGCCGTCGTGTAGTCGTGCAGCTGTCAAAATAGGTCCGTCCATAAGAACGTGCGTATTTTAATATTTGACAGATGTCGTTTGCAGTCTGTCGCGAGCATTGTACAGAGAACGTTTAATATAGAGAAGGTTCACCGCGTTGCCAAATTTACGATATTTCATTTTTTGGAGGGGTACTCTTTTCTATTAGTGGATTTCACCACAAAAGCAGGGGTACTCTTTTCTATAAGCGGATTTCAACAATATTTAAC